TATATATATATATATATATATATATATATATATATATATATATATAGTAAAAAGTTATATAACTACCTTAATATAATTAATATAATATAATATAACTACGAAATATAATATAATATAATATAACTACCTTAATATAACTTCAATATTTAATATTGAGGTTATATCCTATATAATATATTCCAAATGTAATATTTAATATTGAAGTTATATCTTATATAATAAGCATTAAAGATGATTCCATTGAATGTTGAGGTTTATTGATATAATGGATTATTGGTTATTTTTATGAAATATATATTTTTATGAAATATATATTTATATTTATGAAATTATATATTTGTATGAAATATATAATTTCTTTCAAACATATATTTAGTAAAAAGTTATATAACTCTCTTAATATAACTTCAATATTTAATCCTATATAATCTATTCCAAATAATATTTAATATTGAGGTTATATAATAAGCGTTAAAGATGATTCCATTGAATGTTGAGGTTAGGTTATTGATATAATGGATTATTGGTTATTTTTTATGAAATATATATATATATATTATATATATTATATATATATTATATATATATTATATATATATATATATATATTTGTAATTTCTTTCAAACATATATTTAGTAAAAAGTTATATAACTATCTTAATATAATAATTAATATAATATAATATAACTACGAAATTAATATAATATAATATAACTACTTTAATATAACTTTAATATTTAATATTGAGGTATATCTTATAAATGTTGAGGTTAGGTTATTGATATAATGGATTATTGATTATTTTTATGAAATATATATTATATATTTCATAAAAATATATTATATATATATATATTTGTAATTTCTTTCAAATATATATTTAGTAAAAAGTTATATAACTATCTTAATATAACTTTTTACTAATTTTTTATTTAATCCTATATAATATATTCCAAATATAATATTTAATAAGCGTTAAGGATGATTCCATTGAATGTTGAAGTTTATCGATATAATGGATTATTGCTTAATTCTACGAAACACATATATTTGTCATTTTTTTTTTTTTTTGTTACTGAACAAAAAGTTTGAGTACATCTGTATGTGCAATAATTCCTGCAGAGTTTTCAACAATACTAAATCGCTATTGATGTTACAAGTGCTCTTGTCAATTTGCAAAATATCTACATACTTCTCGTACTGGATGTACACAGAACGTGTGTTATAAAAACTTTTAGCTGGCAGCGTATATTTTCAGATCTGTTGAAACTTTATCAACATGATCGATCAATCGAAATTTCAAGATCTCTCATACAACGCGCGATATAATGAAAAAGTTTTCTATGGTAAAGAAGCATTGTATAAGTTGTCATTCTTCTTATAACGATAGTATCGACAAGATGATTGGTGAATGCACATTTCTCGAATAATATTATAAAATGATTTCTAATAAAATGACATCAATACTAAAATCGCTATTGATGTGACAAGCACTCTTATTTCATCACGCCAGATATATGCGCATACGTTCAAATGTTTGTTCGTACATTTCTAAATCTGTTTAAATTGTACTCATGATTAATGAAATTTCTCTCATTAATGAAATTTCGGAATCTCTGAACTGAAAGCCTGTAAATATTTTTCTTCTAACGAACGTTATTATTATTGTTATTGTTCTTGTCGATTGGCAATCGCCAACCAGCAGCGGCGGTGAAATGCACATTGGTCCTTTTTAGTTTTCGCCAGGTGGCACCGGAAACGGGAGCAACACGTGAACCTCTCGCCCGAGAGAGGATGGCGTATTGATCCTTACAGCAGCACCTGACCCGCTATCCTTTTTCAACCAGCCGCATTATCCTTCCTAAATCTAGCGTCGGAGGGGCCATAATTGCATTTAGCTTGATCGTATTAACTCTTCCTTTGTCTTGCTGCTTAATGGATGATGGGGGAGGGGGAGGGTGTGCATGTCGGAAGAATTTCAATCGAGATGTATATACTTCCGTGGAGTATCGAGTCGAAGATACCCGGCGTCGTTTCTGCCCGGACGGCTACGAGATAACGATTTCAACTAAATCGGATAAATTTAGTGGCACTAGGCGAGCAACGTCGAAACTTGGCCGAAACTCTTCCATCTTGGAACTGAGGTGTTCGAGAGGATATCGAGAGCAATCTCCTTCCGTTATTAACGTCGAGACTGTTTGACACGTCTTACGTGTCCCTTACCGATCGATAATTCACGCAGACAGGATTTACGATCTTTTCCTCCTTATTTTCACGCTGCATGTCACGAAACAGTGCTAGCGGCTAGGCCAGATGATCGATGAAAGACCGCTTTTGGAATTTCAGTTTCTACATGTGGCTGGTCTGATGACGATATGCTTTGAAATCGTGCCTCAGTCCCTGGTTTAGAGGCTACGTTTTCCTTTTATTGATATTGGCACCTCTTCAATCGTGAAAACTTTCTCTCGCAGAATAATTTTTAGTTGAGACGCAGGGGGGTTTCGAATCTGCAATTAAGTGACTAGGCACTTTCAGCGAGATGTACGAATTTGGTGCAAATTTCAACAAGCGTTAATTTATTGAAAATCGAAGAAATCTGTGATTAAAGGTTTTCTAACGAGTGAATTACTTTATTAACAAAACGTCCCCTAAATCGTGTTTATGAACGTTTATTAATTGTTGTAAAACGATTCATGCAACTGCATGAAGTTA